ATTAGGGGAGATGGCAAAGACAAAATAACTAGCAAGAAATGAGTTGGAAACTGGAGAGCGAGAGAAGAGAGACTGCGAAAGCATCCCCCTGCTAGATGCCTTTGATCGGGAGAGGAACGACCAGACGACAGTGACCTTACTTATTTGAAGGATTTTAAAATTCATTAGATCATTTTTTCTTTATTCTCTCTTGTCGCGAACGTTCCTCGCATTCCTCGGCTGCTGAAAGACAATCCGGACCAAACTCTAGAATCTTTCCGGGGTCAAAAAAAGGATCTAATAAGCTGAGAAAACTCTGAATTAGAGGGCGTATGATGAGTCAGTAGACGGAAGAGGAACCATGGTCACCACCGCGGATTTGAGTGTTCTCACGACCATCACGACGCTAAGGTCTCTCAAAGGGGATGAGGGTCGTGCGCAAGAAGGGCGTGTGACTGCCGGAAACTGGTCGTGGGTCGTGTCCAAAGTGGGTACTGTTAGTGAAAGTCCCGACGCCGTTAGCACCTCTCCTTGGACGTTGGATGTTCTTAGCGATGTCATGGGAATCGGGGATGAAGGAGGTGGAGGAGGAGGTGGAGTAAGAATAGAAGGAGGAGGAGGATTGACGCCCACGGCAATGTTGGATCACGATCTCTTCTCCCCGGCGAGAGAGGGCTCCGACGCCCCTCTCAATACAGGAGGAGGTCTTTCCGAAATCTTCTTCTCCTTCGATTCCAACGACTTGCCCTTCAAGCCCCTCAACCGGACCTCCTCGAACGACCTCGCGGCCTCCCTCGACGACGACTACAGCCTCCTCGACTTCCCTTCCTCCTCCTTCTCCTACTCCCCCGGCAATGCCTCGTTCGGCAACGCCTCCTTCGGCAATGGAACCTTCGGGGGCGACACCAATAGCACGATCGACGACTTTCCTCCCGAACTCATCTACCGCCACACCTTCGGCGTCGGGACGATCCTCTGCCTCAGCTACGTCCTTGTCTTCATCCTCGGCCTCGTCGGGAACTGCTTCGTCATCGCTGTCGTCTTCAGGTGAGGCGCATAGTTAGAGGGATGGTGAAGGGGGGCGGGGAGAAAAGGATTGTGGAAGGGACATAGAGAAAGGGATTGTGGAAGGGACGGAGAGAAAGGGACAGTGAAAGGGACGGAGAGAAAGGGATTGTGGAAGGGACGGAGAGAAAGGGATTGTGGAAGGGACGGAGAGAAAGGGACAGTGAAAGGGACGGAGAGAAAGGGATTGTGGAAGGGACGGAGAGAAAGGGATTGTGGAAGGGACGGAGAGAAAGGGATTGTGGAAGGGACGGAGAGAAAGGGATAGTGAAAGGTACGGAGAAAAAGGAATAGTGAAAGGGACGGAGAGAAAGGGATAGTGAAAGGGACGGAGAGAAAGGGATTGTGGAAGGGACGGAGAGAAAGGGATTGTGGAAGGGACGGAGAGAAAGGGATTGTGGAAGGGACGGAGAGAAAGGAATAGTGAAAGGGACGGAGAGAAAGGGATTGTGGAAGGGACGGAGAGAAAGGAATAGTGAAAGGGATGGAGAGAAAGGGATAGTGAAAGGGACGGAGAGAAAGGAATAGTGAAAGGGACGGAGAGAAAGGGATTGTGGAAGGGACGGAGAGAAAGGGATTGTGGAAGGGACGGAGAGAAAGGAATAGTGAAAGGGATGGAGAGAAAGGGATAGTGAAAGGGACGGAGAAAAAGGAATAGTGAAAGGACGGAGAGAAAGGGATAGTGAAAGGGACGGAGAGAAAGGGATAGTGAAAGGGACGGAGAGAAAGGGATTGTGGAAGGGACGGAGAGAAAGGGATTGTGGAAGGGACGGAGAATAGTGAAAGGGACTGAGAGAAAGGGATTGTGGAAGGGACGGAGAGAAAGGGATAGTGAAAGGTACGGAGAAAAAGGAATAGTGAAAGGGACGGAGAGAAAGGGATAGTGAAAGGGACGGAGAGAAAGGAATAGTGAAAGGGACGGAGAGAAAGGGATTGTGGAAGGGACGGAGAGAAAGGGATTGTGGAAGGGACGGAGAGAAAGGGATTGTGGAAGGGACGGAGAGAAAGGGATTGTGGAAGGGACGGAGAGAAAGGGATTGTGGAAGGGACGGAGAGAAAGGGATAGTGAAAGGTACGGAGAAAAAGGAATAGTGAAAGGGACGGAGAGCAAGGGATAGTGAAAGGGACGGAGAGAAAGGGATTGTGGAAGGGACGGAGAGAAAGGGACAGTGAAAGGGACGGAGAGAAAGGGAAAGTGAAAGGGACGGAGAGAAAGGGATTGTGGAAGGGACGGAGAGAAAGGGAAAGTGAAAGGGACGGAGAGAAAGGGATTGTGGAAGGGACGGAGAGAAAGGGATTGTGGAAGGGACGGAGAGAAAGGGATTGTGGAAGGGACGGAGAGAAAGGGATTGTGGAAGGGACGGAGAGAAAGGGATTGTGGAAGGGACGGAGAGAAAAGGAATAGTGAAAGGGACGGAGAGAAAGGGAAAGTGAAAGGGACGGAGAGAAAGGGATT